AGAGAGAGAGAGAGAGAGAGAGAGAGAGAGAGAGAAACTGGGTCCTGTCAGTTACTTGAAACCCTTGATCAAGCTGCATATGCATTTGATCACCTGCTGAACTGTGGGGACATATGGGGCAATAATTTGTCTAACTAAAACCAGTTTGAGTTAGTTTTTTTCTCATTTTCAAAGAACCTAACCAAAACACTTGCTAAATTTGCTTCTTTATAAACCTGATAACAGTAGAAAAGTTACCAAACTGAAAAGAACACATAAGAAAAGGCTTTCACATGTTAGAAATATCACTAAGCTGGTAGCTATGCACTGTTCCCAAAAAAGGACCCTTAATTTCAGACATTCTCCCTACTAACACGTAGGCTTTAATAGGTGTTCTGAACCAGGACTGGTTGCTCAGGCCTATAATCCCCACTAATTGGGAAGCTAAGGCAGGAGGATCACAAGTTCAACGCCTTCCTGGGCTACATTTTAAATTCAAGTTAAAAGCTAGTTTGGAGCCAGGTAGGGTGGCACATGCTTTTAATCCCAGCACGGAAGGCAGAGGCAGGTGGATCTCTGTGAGACTGAGACCAGCCTGGTCTAAACAGTGAGTTGTAGCTGGGGCTACAAGGGAGACAGGAAAAAAAAAAAAAACCAGTTTGGGCAACTTAGTGAGATCTTGCCTCATAATCAAAAGAGTAAAGGCTGACCAGCATCCCCCTGTATACTGCCCTTTCAAAAATCTAATCATCTGTTCATGGACTTTTAGGTTGTCTTCACATTTTAGTTACTGTGACTGTTATAATAAGCATGGAAATACTATTATTTCTCTGAGAGCTTGACTTCAGTTATTTTGGATAAATACCCAGAGGAGGGACTGCTGCATTGTATAGTTATTCTATATTTTTTACTTTTTATAGATTATTTTCTATAGTTGGAAATAAAGGGGTGGAGATATGGATAAGTAGTAGACCAGTTGCTCGGCATGCACTGAGGCTCTAGGTTCAATTCTTAGCACTGCAAACAAAACAACAGCAAAAAAGGTTGGGTTGGGGCTGAAGAGATAGCTCAGTCAGTAGTACTCGCCACATAAACATGAGGATCTGAGTTCAATCTCCAGAACCCTATTAAAAATCCAGACATTATGATATGTGGCTGTAATCCAAGCCCTGGCAAAGTAGAGACACGAAGAGCTGGGGCTTGCTGACCAGCTAGTCCAGCTGACAGCTAGCTCTGGGTTCAGTGAGAAAGCCTGTCTCCACAAATAAGGTGGGGCCATTGAAATGGCTCAGTAATTAAAGGTACTTGCTGCCAAGTCTGGCGATTTGAGTTCAGTCCCCAGGACCCACATGGTAGAAAGAGAGAACCAATTCCCAAAAGTTGTCCTCTGACCTTCACAATGTGCTGTGGTACACATGTATGCATGCATTCTCTCTCACATACATACCTACATACAAAATAAATAAGTACATGTAATTTTAAAAATGGCTGGGTATGGTGGTGCAGAGTGGCAGAGGCAGGCAGATCTCTGTGAGTTCAAGGCCAGCCTGGTCTACATAGTAAGTTCTAGGACAGCTGGGGCTCCAGGGAGACCCTGTCTCAAAAAGACCGAAAAAAAAAATGTTAGGGACTGTTGAGATGGCTCAATGGATAAAGATGCTTGTTTCCAAGGCTGAAGATGTGAATTTGTTCCCCAGACACATAGTAGAAGGAGAGAGATCACTTCTGCAGGTTGTTCTCTGATCTCCACCCTGCAGAGTGGCACACGCGTGCACACCCACCCACACACCCACACCCCCCCACATGTACACAAGTAAATTAATTTGTTAATAAAATGGAAAGAGAATAAGGTAGAGAGCAACTAAAGAAAACACTTGACCTTGATCTCTGGCCTCCACACATATGCACATACACATACACTTGTGCACACAAACACACACAGACAAATAAAATATAAAAAGAAATAAACCCATGCATACCTGTTTTCTTAGGAATTATGTATAGCCAAAGGCAATCTCAGTTGATAGGTTTAGCTTAAAAATATTTAGAAGAGGGAAAAAAACCTACTTTCTTTTTCCAATATAGATGAGGGATTTTTCCCCATGACCTGAGAAAAATTAACATAAAAACTCACTCAGAATTGCAGAGAGGTCTGAAAGCTGCAGTGCCCTCTCTATCACTACTGCGTTACTGGAGTCCAGAAAGGTGGAATTCTTGTAGTGACTATAGTCTTCCAACTTAGGATGCTCCCAATCTAAAAAAGCACAGTAGAGAAATGACATAACTTTGAAAAGTCTACACGTGACAGGTTACCCCCCTCAACTTAAGGCCACATCCACTCCAAACTATGGCAATGAAAGGTTTTGGATCTGACAGAACAAAAAGACAAGTCATGATGGCATCAAGGCAGGAGATAATCTGTGGCTAGCTTTAGCCTGTCCTCACATTCTGGCTATCATGACTAATATTACAATGAACATGGAAATACTATTATTCCTCTGAGATCTTGACCAGTTATTTTGGATAAATACCCAGAGGAGGGATTATTGCATTGTATAGTTATTCTATTTTTAAGTTTTAGAGGCACCTCCATGCTATTTTCCATAGTTGCTGCATCACTTTACATTCATGGTGTATAAGGACTGCAGCTTGTGCACATACTTGTTCATACTTAAATTTGGTAAGTCATCTTAACAAGTAGGAGGTCTTATTTCACTATAGTTTTGATTTACATGCTCCCACTGCTTAGTGGTACTGAGGAATTTTTAAAGATTTGTTTTCATGTATGTGCAAGTGCCCTCAAAGTTCAGAAGAGCATGTTAGGTCCTCTTCTGGGGCCCTCTATGAGAGCAGCAGGCGCTCTTAACTGCTGAGACATTGCTCCAGCCCTGGTATTGGAGCATTAAAATACATGTTGGCCTCTATCATTCTTTGCTCTCGTTAGTCATGTTGTTGGTTTTTGTCGAGTTACGGGGCTTTCTTATATTTATTGTTGCTGTTGTTTTACTTTTTTTGTTTGTTTAGCTTTTTTTGAGATAACAGTATTGCTGTCTTTCACCCTGAACTCACTAAATACCCCAGACCAGCCTCAAACTCTCAGTCCTCAGTTTCCCGTCTCAGTTTCCTAAGAGCTAGGATTATGGGTATATGGTACACCTTGCGTATGTAGTTTAGATGTTAATCCCTTTTCTCAGATATGTATCTTGTAAATGTCTTCTCTCATTCACGAGGCTGTATTCTCATGCTGATCATCTTCTGCAGTGATGATGCTTTTTATGTAGTGCCACTTGTCTATTTTTTCAAATTATCTGCACTTTGGGTATCATATCTAAGAAATCACTGCTGAGAAAAATGCTTTCATAAAGTTTTCCTTTTAAATGTGCTAGCAATTTAGAAGTTCCAAGTCTTATGCTTAAGTATTTAATTCATTTAGTTGATTTTGAGCATGGTATAATGGTCTAATTTTATTTTATCTTTTCCATGTAGATGTTTTACCAAAAACATTTATTGGAGATGATTATTATTAGTGATTCCGGGGGTTGAACCCAGGGTCTTACATGTTGGGCTACACTCCAGCCTTTTTTGCTTTGTGTGTAATGGATGCACACGTGTGTGTGGGTGTGTGCACCTGTGCATGTGCAGAGGCCAGAGGAGGACATCAGGTGTCCTGCTCTATCACTCTCTGCCTTATTTCCTTGAGACAAGGTCTCTACCTGAACAAGGAGCCAGCTAGGCTGACACTATCAACAAGCCCCTGTGATCCTCTCATCTGTGCCTGCCCAACAGTGCCTTGGATATGGGCTTTTACATGGGTACTGGGAATTCTGACTCAAGTCCTCACCCTTGTGCAGTATGTGTTCTTTACTGCTGAGCCATCTCCCCAACTTCTACCTTTTCAGAAGTGGTCTCTCTAAGGTGCTTAGCTTGGCCTTGAAGTTTTGATCTTCCTGTCGCAGTCTCCTGAGTAGCTGAGATCACAGGCCTTCTCCGTCAGGTAAGAGGTTCTTTTCCTCATTGTGTATTCTTGGCACTTACAAACATCAGTTGACCATATGTGCTTGGGTTTATTTCTAGGTTGCTTTCTCTTCTACTGGCCCATATTTGTGCCATATTGTTTTGTTGACAATAGCATATGGAGTGTTGCTTTAATTTTGTTTTGGAATTTTGTTTTTGAGACTAGGTCTTACTACATAGTCCAGGCTGCCCTTGAACTACTTATGTAGCCTAGGTTAGGCTTGAATTTAGGTCTTCCTACCTCTATAACTTCATGTTTAGATGATAGATACCCACCATTTGGATTAACATACTGGTGTTTTTTGTTGTTTTTTAAGACAGGGTTTCGTTAGACAACCCTAGCTGGCCCGAAACTCATATATCCCAAGCTGGTCTCAAACTCCCAGAGATCACCTACCTCTGCATTCCAAGTGCTGGGATTAAAGGGATACACCACCATGCCAGGCTCTAACATACTTTTTTGTTGTTGTTGTTTTTGTCTTTTTTTGAGACAGGGTCTCCCTGTAGCCCCAGCTGGCCTGGAACTTACTAAGTAGACCAGGCTGGCCTTGAACTCACAGAGAATAGTCTGCCTCTACCTCCCAAGTGTGGGAATTAAAGGCCGGGTGCCACCATGCCTGGCCTAATGGACTGTTTTAATTGCTACAGTTTAGTAATAAATTTTGAAAGCAGTCTGGTACTCCTAATTTGTTCTTTCTCAAAATTATTTTTCAATTCAGGGTTATTTGTGATAATATAAGGATTTTAATGTTGCTTTTTTTTTTTTTTTTAATCTTTTTGAGACAGGGTCTCCCTGTAGCCCCAGCTGGCCTGGACCTCACATAGACCAGGCTGGCCCTGAACTCATAGAGATCCATGTGCCTCTGCCTCCTGAGTGTGGGATCAAAGGCATGTGCCACCACACCTGGCCAAGGTTGCCTTTCTAGTGAGTTCCAGGACAGCTGAGCCTACAAGGAGACCCTGTCTCAAAAATACCAAAAAAAAAAAAAAAAAAGAAAAGAATGTCAGAGTTTTTTTATTGAATTTTTGTTCTTTTCTTTTCTTTTTTTAAAAAAATAGGATTTTATTAGGAAATGGAAAATGCCAAGAGCATGTAAACAACACAGTTCTAGTTCCCACAAGGCTCTCAAGGAATGGATCTCCCAGCTGGCTGGGTAGAAAGTGCTGTGGGGGAGTCATGTGGTCAGAGGTCACAGCAGAATCACCAGCAGCACATGTACCTGAGGGAGGGAAGGGACAGTGGCAGAGCAAATCTTTGGAAGTGTCCCTCAAGACTTCTCTCTTTACATACTTGTGTTCCCCTGAGCTCAGAGAAGACCTAACTCCTTGACATGCTGTACATGTGGAATTTAGAAACAAGCTTTATGCAGACCCCGAAAGTGGAAAAATTAAATACATAAGCAAGCTCATGTTCCAACAGTAAATCATTTCAGTATAAAAGTCAAAGAAAATGATCACTAAGTGTTGGGATAAGTCAGGAGTGCCTGGAATGTAAAGCATGACAGGTCGGAGACCTCCTAGTGAGGATGGCAGGAAACTGGCCTGCTCCATTCTAGATATACTGTCTGTTATCCAACAACCCCCAAGCAAAACTATTAGGTCTCTAATCCTTTAATCCTAACTGGGTCTCTTGTAGATCCTGTGACCAGAGGACAAGACAAAGGCCATGTAGCTTAGAAGCTCCCTCCCTCCCTCTAACCTGCCTGCCCACTAGAAAACCAACCCCACCTCTTTGCCTGCGAAACTTTCCCATATGAACCTCTGCTTCCACCATAATAAACAAGCTGTCCACTGACACAGCCTCCCAGGTGTTTCTTCCTGCCACACTCACCACCACCTGAGGCCCCTCTCACCCCATCAGTCTCTCTCCTGGCCCCGACTTTCCATGATGGGGGCTGGTGCGCAAGGTCTTCTGGTAGCAGCAGAGTTTGGGCCGAGGGGAGGCCAACAACTGAGAGGATGGAGACTGCTATTCTAGCCTTTGAAGAACCACATCTCAAGAGCAGGTGGAGAGGAGTGTTCAAGGGGTGTTCACAGAGACCTTTTCTTTTTTTAAAGAAAATTATTTAGAGTGGTCCTATTTCCCAGAGAAGAGAGAACCCAAGTCCATATGCCTGCCGCTGTCACCAAACAGGCATTTGTACACATACAATTTTCATAACACTTCTCAGATTATTTCCAAATTCAGGCAACTTAATGGCAATTAAACTGATATTTAAAGTCACTTGATAAGGGGCAGGGCCCTCCCAGCACCTGAATTCTTTATTTTAATACAGAGATTTCCAAGACAGCACAATAAAAACTTGTTTTGTTAAATTACAACAAAGCTCTCTTGCAGTCTTGACAGACAGTCCTTCACCAATAACTTGCTTTCATCTCTACCGGTTCTCATCACATTATCTTTTCTGAAGAGAACATTTTCTCAGCAATTTCAGATCTAGTCATAATATCCTCATCAGAATCTACCAACACTGGAAGCACTACGTCTGTGAATGAAGAGGGAATATTTTCTTCCACCCACTTCAAATCTTCATTGAAATTTTCAGAAGTAGGTTTAGCTGTTCCATTTGAAGCTGTTCTTGAGGCTCTTGATTTTATTCCTTCAGTTAAATTCTTAGATGTTACCATGAATTCTTCAATTTCATCATCAGAATCATCTATTAAGGGTATGAAGGCATACCTCTTTGATTATTTGCTGATGGCCTCCATAAAAATATTATTACAATAAGTAAGAAAAGGAAGCTCCAAAATGCATCATAACCCAGAGTTCCATCCAATCTGATTGGCATTTTGCGATTTTACACGTCTTAGTTGTCCACACCATAAACACTATAGAAGCTAGCAGGGCAAAGATGAGAGTATTTGTTTTTGTTTTGTTTTTTAAATTCTCTCTCTCTCTCTCTCTCTATTTTTTGTCTTTTTGAGACAGGGTCTCCCTGTAGCCCCAGCTGTCCTGGAACTCACTATGTAGACCAGGCTGGCCTCGAACTCACAAAGATCCACCTGCCTCTGCCTCCCAAGTTCTGGGATTAAAGGTGTGCGCCACCATGCCTGGCCTAGATGAGAGTATTTGTAAAACGCCTGTACAATGAAAACTTTACTGTGTTCTTTCTTAGCTTTAGAGTCTTCATAGTTTGTGCCAGACTTTATAAAAATCCACCAGCACAAGCCAAAGTCAAGCAGAGAGAGGCAGGCTGGCCAGAAAAACAAGAATCAATCGCCCCCATGACTTGCATCTAC